TGTTGTCAAAACCTCAATTTTCAAATCTCAAAGCTCCGATTCTTTTCACAAGACTACTAGTATCTTTGAGTTTCGACTCTAACTCGCAATTCACAATCACTCAAAAGCATTAACAACATATGACAATTACTCACCTGACTCCAACAACAACATTTACAATAAATCATCATTATGTCACTATTCAAAATGTCAACATCATACACAATGGTAACTCAACCATGACAACTTCACGATCAATTGACATTTTCTAAAACATCACAATCATCTGAGCTTCATCTTCCAAGAGCTATCCTACTTGCTTAGCTAATGTCCTCAGAGGGTCATCAAGAAATTACACACCTCTTGTATATCACTAGTCATCACATTGCTCTATATCCTCTGAGAAGCAACCTTTAACAATTCTCTTTTTCCTTCGGAGTCGACTCTACTTAACCAACAAACAAGAACCTTGAATCCGTACAACCTTCAGGTATGAAAATATGCATCGACTCGCCAAAACACTTCGTAATCACTTGGTTTAATTCAAATAGTTCACCCCAAGGCTAACATCAAGTTAATCGAACATTTCGCTCTAACGACAAGTCACAATTATCCTCTGAGAAACATCAAGACTCACCCATAACGGGCACATGATTAGTAATAACATCGCCCTCCACTTCTAGAGATGCAAACAACACGAGTACCTGATCATTCCCCATTAAGAACACTTCTTCTGGCTGTTAGACTTAAATCCTGAATCCGTGCTTCCTTCAAAATTGGAAAAACAACACAACAACACTAACGTCTGCACCCATGCACTTAACGACATACTAAACCAATTGTTCACACCTGAACCATCTTAGATAAGTACAAGCTTCTCCCTCACTTGTTTCAATCCCACTCATGCAAACAAGTGATTAGAAAATCAAGCAAGCACCGACCGTGTTTCACACACTTGTCGCGTACTAAGGAACAAACAACATTAGACAACTTGGCCGAACAGACTGACTTGCTCTGATACAAATTGTAACACCCTATTTCCCCGTCGATAAATTATATAAAATCAGAGTAATTTAACTTCTAAAATACAACATCAAAATATGACGTCACATACTTCGTAAATCATAATGCTCAAAAATTAGCATACGCAACACAAGTCACATGTTCATAAGTCTTAACTTTAGTGCATTTATTTGCAGCAGAAAACATCACTAAATAGTCATCTCAAATTATCCAACATGAGTCATAATTATTCACTTTTAAAATATCGACATATTAATAAGGTAAATCAAAACAACAGAGTTATACAAAGTTTACTCCCAACATGGTAAGACAAACACAAACCCCCCAAGTATTACGTATCAGAGCAGACACTGACTCAATCTACACAACTGAAAGAACTCCTCATCTAAACTTCGATCGCTAGCTACTTCAAATCACCTGCACGTTACTCACATGGATGTAACATTCAAACATAAAGGGTGAGATATCATAAAAATATAAGAGGAAGCATAATAATGAGCAGGTAAAGATTCAAGTATATAATCAGCATACAACATCCATCATATATAATACATACTCTCATCAATATTCACCCATCGAATTTTCAATCATAATATGATGCAAAAGACCGACACTGACTCAATGCATGTGGTACCAACAAAGTAAAACCCTCTTTGCAATAATGCCAATTTAGGGAAATCAAATTTGCTCGGTAATACATGCCTCCGTTTGCCAATACAGGCCTTCGCTTTATGAATGCATGCGACAATGACATGCAACAACTTAATTTCACATTGATTATTATTACCTATCAATGTCACGCTAATACACGCCTTCGCTCATCATGATTATCATTCATATCATGTTACACCATTAAAACATTCATTCAACATCATCGTACTCAATCACAATACCAATCTCATCGATTCCATTATCATATTCACAAATTCACAATTACATCAAAATATCATAATAAGACAATACAGGCCACCAAGCATATACCATAGTACATACATCATCACAACATCGTCACATAAAGAAGTCTCTTCACATTCATCGTTATATTGACAATATAAATCAGGGCATATAAATCAAAAACACACCCACGGATAGGTATCAATGTTGGTGAATAATTAACTATTACATTATAATTCATTTTCATAATATAGAAAATTATTTTATCTTTCCAATGGTACAAACGGCGCGTCAAACGGACACCCGAGACAAAATTTATTAGTTTTAGAAGTTTTCCAAAAATGCTGTCAGTAGCAGTGGTAACCGGTTACCCAGTTATGATAACCGGTTACCGCAAGACAGTAACCTTTTTCCTTTTCAAAATTCCTCGCGGTAAGCGATTAGCTACTTATGGTAACCGGTTACTGTAAGACAGTAGCCATCTGTGTTCCAACTTTTGATATGGTAATCGGTTACCATATATGGGTGACCGGTCACCCTGCAACAGCAGGGAAAAATTCTGCAATTTTCAGTTACGATCCTCCCACGTTTTAATACCAAAAGTTCATTTTTTTCATCAAAGTTTATCTTTTAAGCATGTTAATTATTCATCAACCATTGTCTATCAACCTAACCAATTCATATCATTCAATTCCATAAAATAACACACACAAATCACCAAAATTCATCAACATGAAAACCCCCAAAACAACCAAATAGGGAGAAATCACAACACACAACCTAGATCCTACCATACCCCATCATTAGGCAACCATTTATACATTTAGAATCACCTTTTACCTTAAATTTTCGTTGATTCTTGATTTCTACGATGAAATCCCTTGCCCTACCTTCCTAGTGCTCTTCTATTCTTCTCTCTTCTACGCTTCTCTTTCTCTGTTTCTACGTACGGACTCTTTTCCCTTATTCTTACTCTAATGTATCCCAATAATAATATAACTATCCTAATTAATTAATTATTTAATAAAATAATACCAATCCTATTATTCTACTAATAATTCTATTTTAATTATTATAAAATAATAGTAAACCTCATATTTAATCCAAAAATGCCAATTATCACTCTCACCTTTATGTTTCTACACTTTTAGCCATACACCCCCATCACCTCAACTTATATAATTTCGAAGACATCTAATTACTAACAAATACATCACATCACATCATAAAAACCACCTACTCATATAATTACACCACATCAACTAATTCGCCATAATTCATACATTCACCAATTATCACTGATATTCATACTAAATTAATTAAATAATTAATCTAGATTTTTAGAGTGTTACAACTCTCCCCCGCTTAAAATTGTTGGGATAAATATTCACTAGCATTATTACTTCTTAATGTACGAATAGACACACCAAACTGAGTTTTTATTTCTTTATAAAAAATTTCAAAAATAGGAAATAATTCTGATCTATTTTTCATTAAAAATCATGACGTGCAACGTGAAAAATCATCAATAAAAGTGACAAAATACCTAGACTCAAGAGTAAAGATAGTACGTGAGAGACCCCAAACATCAGAGTGAAATAAAGCAAAAGGGGACGAAGCTTGTTTATTAACTCGATTGGAAAATTGACTACGAGTGTAACTGACACGACTCACAATATAAATTAGATACTTTCGATAAACTTGACACTAACTTCTATAATTTGGGAAGACTAGGATGACCTAACTGATCATGGATTGTGAGTGGAGAATCTTTTGCTAAGCATGTCTGACATGACACTGAGAGGTGATAAAGACCTTACTCACATCCAACGCCAATTGTCCATCCCGAACTCCGATCTTGCAGGGTGACTACTATTAATGAAGGTGACAATATAATTAAGAGAATGGGTTAAACGAATGACTGAAAGTAAATTAAATGGACAATTAGGTATATAGAGAACAAAAGTAACAGAGAGAGAAGGTAGAATTTGAACAGTACCAATTCTTTCGAATCGGGTTTGAGAACCATTGGCAGAAGTTATAGTAGGTAAGAAACTAGAGGTAGAGAGGGAAGATAAAATATTTTTTATTACCTGTAACATGATCAAACGCACCAGAATCAAGGACTCGAAGTCCAAGAGAGGATGATTGAGAGAAACAAACAGATGAATTACCAGTGTGTGCAACCGAAGCAGTAGAATCTGAATTCTGATAATTCTGATACCAATTGAGAAAATCATCGTGGTTTGGCGTAAAGTTCTGAGGAGTAGTCGCAAGTATCAGATTTGGAAAAGTTGCACAATGGCGAGTGCGGTGGTGGAAAAATCGTCGGGATCAGTCAGATCGAAGGAAGCGCTTTTGCCGGTAGGGTTAGTTTGCCGGAAGATCGTCGGAATTATTAGCGGCGGATGCCAACAATAGTCTGATAGTTACCGAAGAATTTTAGAAAGTGAGAGGCAAACCGAAGTGATGACACGGTTTACAAATTTTTTTTCTACCGGAAGACAAATGGTCAACCGGGTAAAACACGACGAAGAATTGCCTCTTAGTAGACTCTAAATACCATATTGAATTAGGAGAGACTAAGAAACATTTAAGTTGAATCGTGTGTTTTGAAAAATACTATAAAGACTTTATCATATATATAGAGAGATTACAACTAATTACATGATATAATCTATGTGAGACTATTCTATATACAAATATCCTTAACACTATATATTTATAAATATGAACCATATGAATTTTGATTGTAGTCATTTTAGGGGAGTCGTTACCCGAGAGTGTGACATCATCTAGATAAATAAGCAGGATAGTGAAAATCTTATTGATGGATTTGGTGAAGAGGGAGTAGCCATATTATGATTGAACATATCCAAGACAAAGAAAGAAGCTTAAAAGTTAAAAAAAAAATCATTGACAACTTGTCTGCTTTAGGCCATAGATAGACTTTTGCAATTTGCAAACTTGACCAGAGAATTGTGTAGTCATGTCCGGTGGGAGATGCATGTATACCTTGTCATTAAGAGTGCCATGGATGAAGGTGTTATTGATACTAATAATTGAATTTTCTAGGGTTGACTGAATCATAAAATCGACCATAGATGATAAAAACTTATTTTTATTCAAGCGAATTGATTGTGTTTTGCAATCAGATAATTTCAGGTGTGGAATATTGTCACAAGAATATGGTAGCTCATAGAGACTTAAAGTGTGAGAATATAATTTTGGACTCAAAATTCAATATTAAGATTGGTGATTTTGGCCTGAGCAATACCATGCAATACGAACAATTACTTAAGACAAGATGTGGAAGTACTATCTATGCAGCTCCAGAGGTTTGTATAATATTATTTAAAAATGCATTTTTTAAATAAAAATTTGGAATTTTTTGAATAAGTAGTTAATCTAAATATTTTAATTAACTATAACAACCAACATTCTATATTTCATCTGAAACAAAAGCTTTTTTTTTAATAATTATTTAATTAAAAATCCTTTTTTAATTTATCAAAATGTTAATGTAATTTTATAGTTGTGTTATTGTTGTTGTTATAATTGAGAGTCAATATTTTTCTCCTCCCATGATTCATATTAATACTTTTGGTCAAAATGATATTTGATCACAGGTTATCTCTGGAAAATTATATGATGGATCCAAAGTAGATATTTGGAGTTGTGGTGTAATTTTATATGCTCTTCTTTGTGGTTCTCTCCCTTTTGATGATGAAAATATTCCCAAACTTTACAAAAATATAAAGGTAGAAGTTAATAATAATAATAATAATTATTATTATTATTCAACAAACACATTTAATTAGGCTTATGTGTACGCTTCTAAAAATAGATTTTTATAGGGTGGAATATACATTATTCCTAGCTATTTATCAGATGGTGCTAGTGATTTGATATCAAGGCTTCTTGAGGTGGATCCTATGAAGAGAATAAGCATACATGAAATACACCAACACCATTGGTTCAAAATTTCTTTGCCACATTCTTTGGAAGTGTCACCAACAGATACAGTCTAACAAGCCCAAAAAGGTAAGTTTTAAAATTTCAATAGTTTAAACCCTAAAACTGAACAAACGTCACTTAGTTTAATTACTTTTGCGTATTGATGTTTGATATTTGTGATGTATAGAATGCTAAGTCTCCAGGTGATGGTGGTTTAGAAATAATGACAAAGAAATGACCATTCAAGTGTAATATTTGTTGTTGTAACACACATTTGAATTTTCATATGAAGGTTATGTGGAAAAATCCTAACACTTTCATAGTAAAGAAACATAAAAACATTATGGTAGTGGATCTACATTTCTTTTTAAAATTATAATTAGTTAAGTTTTTAAAGTTTTTAATGCGTACCCTTAGACTACATTTCTTTATTCAACACTTCAAAAACTCTATAAATATAAATAAAAAAATTGTTTTACTTTTTAAGCGCTAGTGTTGAATGAGGTGTTGAAAATAATATAGATTAATCGATGTTGAAAATATTTAAATGTTGAATAAAGAGAGTGCGAAAGTCACATATAATACTTTATAAAATGTTATTGATTGTTGTGATTATTTAGATTTTATTTGATCTTAATTATTTGCAATTAATTATTTTATAGTAAATTATTTATTTATTTATTTTTATTTTTTTCCAAAATTCATTATTTTTTCCCTCTATAAATAGATATTTGATTCATTAGATCTGAACACAAAAAAAATTCATTTTTTTCTATCTCTAATTTTTCTATTTAGCCTCCCATAAACTCATCTTTATCACTTGCAAGAAAAAAATTAATTAAGAATATAAAATCAGCAAAAAAAATTCAAATAAGTTATTAGATTAAAAAAATAAAACAAATTATTTAACTCTTAATTATTTTAATTTAATTTCAATCGATAATTAATATTAATATATAATTATAAAAATAAAAATATAAAAGAAAATAAAAATAAAAAATAAAAATAGTGGAATAGAGTGTTGAATTTTATTAAACAAAATTATTATAATGAATAAAAGTTGAATGAATAATGATTTATTAGATATATAAAAAAAAGAAGATGATATAAAATATTAAAAAAAAAAAAGAAAAAAGGTTGAATGTATAAATCATTATACATAATCTAAAGTGTCACTAAAAGCAACACTTTTTGTTTACTTTTAATTAATGTTATCTAATGTATAACTTAAGATAACACATTTTTATTATGAGTGCTCTCTAAAACAAAAGCGTTGTGAAATATTTTTAAATTTTTATTTATTTATTAAACATACAACAATATTATATAATACACTGAAATCTAATATGGATATCTTAATCAACGGCTATATTCAAAAGCGCTACTTAATGTACTATTGTGATTTTTAGCAGTGTTTTTTTAATAAATAAACATCAGTAGAACAAATATTATCTAAATTTTTTTTTGGCATAGTATGTAAGGTGATATTATCTTGCTTGCTATATAGAAGGACATCCTTAAAATACTCAAAGAAATTTGACAGTGAACAAGAGTAGGACTTTGTCCTCATCATCAAGTTTAACTTTAATATTTTATGAGTCACTAATAATTTTGTGAAATTCCGTCAATTTTTATCAACTTTAACCATTAGAAATAAGTAGAGTTGTTGTTTTAGATATAACCCATGAGCCAATGATTTGTTGATATACAAATACTAAATATTGGCCCAATTTTTTATCGCAATCATCTCTCTTTCGACTTCCATCAATACTTTATCTCCAAGACACAAGATAATCACACCCCCAACCTTATCCATCATCTTACTCTTCTCCGCTTGTGTCATGCTTAATGAAATCAATTTCTCACCTTTCAATGCTTCTGTACACTTTTATTGAATCAAATTTACTTGTATATTTACTTTCCACAACTCAAAATTGTTGTTTCCGTAAAACAAATTCCTGATATCCTCCATCTAGAATCTAGGGTGCTCACTTGTAAGCTTAGATCTTTTTCTCCAAAGTTAGATCCACTTGTTATAAAATAAAGAGTTTAAACGCACCAAAAATAATGATGTGTTGGACAAAGAATAAAGCTAACCGTTGGGTCATCATTAGGAGCATCCACATTAGGTTAAGAGCAACACACAAGTGCAAGAGACACCACATATTCATTCAAAATCTTAAGGTGATAGGTGTGTGAACTCTCACTTATAAAGTGCCAAACCTCCAGTTTTTCAAACAATGTGGGACTAACAAATCACACTTGTACACTACTCAAGCAGAAGCTCTTTCATCCACATACACTTGTATCGCTATTGCAGGCACTACAATGAAATACACCGCCTGACCACAACCATGTCAGGAAGACTTTAGATATAAGGAGTTGGTCCATTAGTTGATACACTTGTACCGTCGTTGCAGACACTATAATGAAATACACCGCCTGACCACAACCATGCCAAGAAGACTTTCGATACAAGGAGTTGGTCCGTTAGTTGAACCATCGGCCTGATACCACTGTTGGGTCATCACGAGGAGCATTCACACTGGGTCAAGAGCAACACATAAGTGAAAGAGACACCACATGTTCACCCAAAATCTTAAGGTGATAGGTGTGTGAGTTCTTTCACTTATAAAATGCTCAACCTCCACTTTTCAAAACAATGTGAGACTAACAACTCACACTTCTACACAATACTAATAACATATTGTGATACGGTGGGAGAACTGACTTGAGGTTTTCAATTTTGTCGCAAATCTTACGGTTTAGCAAGAGTCGCCACCGACTTTTATTTTATCCAAAAGGAAAGGTAAAAAAGCACAGGAAAGACCTTTGAGATGTTTTCTTGAGTTCGGAGGGTAGATCATGAAAAGGGAAGGTTCTAACACCCTTTTCATCCATGGTTTTACATGAGCTCTTAGTTACTTGCTTAGATCACTTGATTTACTTTTACAATTGTTTGAAATGGTGCTTTGTGTGGTTTTTGAAAGTATTTTGAAAAGAGGCCATCGTTTAGGCAATCTTTGTAATGATTCTCGTTCGTAAGAATGTATACAAAGATGTTTGTCTTTTGAAAAATGTTTCAATATTTTGAAAGGTGTTTGGAAATATTTTGAAAATGTGTGTGTTTGTTTGAAAATAGCAAGGATTTTTTGAAAGAGAGCAAGTAACTTAGAACTATCTACCCTACTCAAATGTCTTTCCTATACATTTTTATTCCTTTGACATTGTTGATTTACCATTGATTTGGTAAACAACCCTATCTTTGGATGTTAAACGGGACGAACGTGGGTCATCGTATGACCATGATAATAATGTTGTCAAGTATCTTTAGCATTTTGAGGGACTAAGATCATTTGTTTAGGCAACCTTTTTGATAGCGTCATCGAGGGACTATGATCTTTTTGTTTTGTATGATTTTGCCAAGATACTTTGCATGAATATCATGGCCATTTTGTAAGGCAACCAAGTGGGTGAAAACCTAGAGGTGCTTGTGTGCAATGTGTGTCATTTTACATGCATTTTGTCTTGTGTTAGGTCTTGTATTTGTTTGATTTTGTCTTATCATGCAAAACCCTAGTTTTTTCTAAACATAGTATAATGTGATAAATTACGTAAAATAAATCTAAGCTATTACAACAATTATTATGGGAGGGGGGATACAAGTTTTTAAATGGGGATATTTGCATAAAATAAAACCCTAAAATACTATTACAACCCAATTGAATATTTGCAAACTAAATAAATAAACAAATATTAAAAATGCAATAAAAATGTAAATATGCAAAAAAATGTTTTGTATTTGTTTTATGTATGAGAGAATAATATTATTTAAGTCCTAAAAATAAGAAAAATAATATTGTTATTTTTGAAAGGGGTAAAACCCTAATTTTTGATTAAAAGAAATATATATTCTATATTTATTTTATTTTGTCTATTTTTATACAAGAAATAATAAATAATATCATTAATAAATATTAAAAATTAAAATATGTATAAAAATAATATTTTATGTGTATGAATAATAAAAATAAAAATGTATGATATTTTTAAATGTGTTTACTATTTATTTTAAGAAAATAGATTCTATTTATTCTAAATAATCAATATTTTATACAAAAAATAAGATAAAAAATAAACTAAAATGCAAAAAATAAATAAAATATTTTTCATGATTTTTTTATGTTCAGAAAAATAAATAAAAGCAATAAATATAAAAAATGAAAAGAAAATATGAAAAATAAAAAAAATATGCAAAAGGGGTGTGTATTATGGATCAGGGGGGGTGTGAAAAGTCAAAACAGGAGGCCCAGGGCGCGCCAGGCCCAGGACTTCATCCCTGTCCTCCAGCCTCTCCCAAACGCGCGCGTTTTTGCTTCAAACCTGTATCTTGCTCTAACTTGCATAAAATCAAAAACTCATAACATAAAACATGTAGCTTGTAATCTCACGATTCCAATGATATAAAATTTGTAAACTAACTCTAAAAGATCAGGGAGAATTTCAGTGGCCCTAATTCCTGACCTAATTTTTTCAGCATGTTCAACATTCAAATTCTCTTAGCTCAGTTAATATAAATGACAACTATGCATATGTACAGCTTCACCATGCTAGAGACTACATTTTTGCTTCACAAATCGTGGCTTGAGGATACTTAAATAGAGAGATAAAGTTTTGAAAAATACCTTCTTCAACTGGATTTGGATATGGCAATCTGGGGACTTTGAGTGAGGCCTGAGGATCGTGTGAGCTTCCTTGAAGTTCCCTCAAGCTATTCCAATGCTTAGCTTGCATTGTGGATAGCTGAAACTCCCTGTAGAAGTCAAGCTGCAACCTTCCAAAATAAAAATGGTGATGTCTGAAATAGGGCTTACAGAACTAGGACAAGGGCTTGGATAGTTTGGATATGATGTATGGAATGTGTTTGAAGTATTGAATCAAGAAATACACGAGCCAATATTGAGTTGGCAAGAGTTTTGCAGAAGCTGCCCTGTTTGGGCAAAAATTTGTGTTTTTTGTGTTTGGGAGAGTTTCAGATGCTCTGAATTCGTGTTCTTAGCTTGATATATGTTTG